AAAATATCTCATCCTACATATCAATCAATCATTTTTCTCTCACAACCATCTATTAAATTACAAAAAAAATCCACAAATCATCTCAAACACAATTTTTTTTTTCATTTCATAAAATAGTTAAAAGCCAAAAAGTTTTGATTTTTTGGCTAATTTAGCCTGACTTTAGTTGTTTGGGATGTGTTATATAAGTTCACTTTTTGACTTTTTAGTTAAAAAAGTAGAGGAAAAAAGATGTATGTTTGGGATTACTTTTTGACTTTTTATGAAAAGATGTGTAATAAAATATTGTAGTAAAATCAAAATGATAATTTACCCTTTTGACTTTTTGACATTTAACTTTTTTGACTTTTGAGTAGTTGAATTTAAAGGGTAAAATAATAATTTTATCCTATGACTTCCCCCACAAGCTACCTTTGAATAGTATAAACTTTTTAGTTTTCTTAATAATTTTTTAACTTTTTGACTTTTTTAGTTTATCCCAATTGCGAAGAACTTTTTGACTTTTTTTGTAAAAGAAAAATTGAAAAAATTATAATTTGGATGTAACATTTTATTTTATTAATTTATTTACACTGTTTTGTCTTTTTATACTTTTTTAGTCTCAACTTAACTCCACTCACTTGCCAAACGAGAACTAAAATAGCCACGTTACCAAACTATTAAGGCCTCGTTTGGTAATTGGGCTTTTTCAGCTTTTTGTTCAATTAGTCAAAAAAAAATATTAATAAAATAAAATATCATATATAAATTATAATTATTGCACTTCTTAAATTCGTGGTTGATCAACCTACAAAAGTTTGTCTGTACTGTCGTCCTAGGCTCACGTGGTTGTTTCATTTTTTTTATTATTAGAATTGAGTTCTGAACACACAATTGTTTAGTCATTCAATAGCATGTTGACTTAATTGAAAATGAGAACAATTATTTTTACCTGATTGTTAATGGACAAGTTGAATGGTGGACATGTTGTTTAGAATTAATAAAAATTGAATACCAATTGACTTAGATTGTTTCACTAAATAACACCTCCCCTAATAACTCTTAAAGAGTTTGGCTTAATAGGAGAAGAGACAACTAAAGAATTTAATACCTAAGAGGTTACAGGATCGAAATCTCACAAAGGCCAAACATTGAAAACCTTGGGCCCTATTGGAAATTTTCTCCGTCATTAACTTAATTTCTCAATATTAGTCGAGGTGTGTATAAAATAACCCGGACATTTGATTATCAAAAAGAAAAGTAAAAAAAAAAAAATTCTCCCTCAAATTGTAGACGAAAGTGGACAACTGGTCATGTTATTTGGAATGAAAAATTAAATTAAATTAAATTAAATGATGTATATTGTATTATATTGTATATTATATATTGTGCAGATTTGATTATCTATTTAATGTACAATAAAGTATGCTATGATTCATAGTTATGCCAACTTCGTTTTCCACGTTAAGTTTAAATCTTCGAGTCAATTGAGGTGATTAATTTTAAGGTGCTTGAACAAACTATATTATTTTAATTTAATCATTATATTCTCCTCGCCGTTAACAGACTTCACCTCACTAATTCTAATCGATGTGAGAAGGACACGCATTGAAAAGTTGTCAAAAAATTAGTTGAAAAAGTTGTCGGCGGTTGGTGGTGGTGGTCGGCGGCAGCAACTAGTGGCAATCACTACTACAAAAATAGTTAAAGATCACACTTTGACAAAAAAAAAGATCTCACTTTTATTAGAAGTGTGATAAAAAAAATTATATTGATATTTTAATCACACTTAATTTGATTGAGTGTGATAATATTTATTTTTTATGTCACTTTTCAATTAAGTGTGATTATATATATATTTTTCAATTACACCTTCTAATTAAAAGTGTGATTATATATACACTACTACTTTTTAATCACACTTTTTAAACAAAGTGTGATTATATATATATTTTTTAATCACACATTCTAATTAAAGTGTGATTGTTTATATATTTTTTAATCACACATTTTAATTAAAGTGATTATATATACGCAATTACTTTTTAATCACACTTTTTAAACAAGTGTGATTATATATATATTTTTTAATCACACATTCTAATTAAAGTGTGATTATTTATATATTTTTTAATCACACTTTTTTAATTAAAGTGTGATTGTATATATACTACTATTTTTTAATCACACTTTTTAAGTAAGTGTGATTATATATATATTTTTTAATCACACATTATAATTAAAGTGTGATTATTTATATATTTTTTAATCACACCTTTTAATTAAAGTGTGATTATATATACACTACTACTTTTTAATTACACTTTTTAAGTAACACTACAAGAAAAGTGGGCTTATGAGACGGAACTTTTTGCGACGACACATTTGCCGTCGAAAAAAATGTGACCTTTTGAGACGGCACAATTTGCCGTCGCAAAAAATGTGACCTTTTGAGATGGCACAATTTGTCGTCGTAAAAAATATGACTTTTGAGACGGCACGACTTGCCGTCTCGAAAAAAAAAAAATGTGACTTTTTGAGACGGTACAACTTGCCGTCGCGAAAAATATGCCTTTTTGAGACGGCACAACTTGTCGTTGCAAAAAAATGTGACTTTTTGAGACTTCATATATATAGTTACAAAATGGTTTAAATAAATGCAATGGTATTTTTCTATCATAAAAAAAAAATTGAAAAAAACGACGTCGTCTTACTCTTTTGATATAACATTTCTCTTTTCATCAATTTTTTCATCTTCCTGTCTCTCTGTCTCTATCTCTGTCTCTCTTCTCTTTCTCTCTCTCACTCATCACTCTTCTCTGTCTGTCTGTCTGTCTCTCTCTCTTTCTCTCTGTGTCTCTGTCTCTCTTCTCTTTCTCTTTCTCTCTCTCACGCATCACTCTTCTCTGTCTGTCTCTCTTTCTTTATGTCTCTGTCTTTATCTCTCTTCTCTTTCTGTCTCTCACTCATCACTCTTCTCTGTCTGTCTGTCTCTCTTTCTCTCTGTGTCTCTCGCTCATCTCTCTTCTTTCTCTCTCTCTCTCTCGTTTATCTCTTTTTGCTATTCTCTCTCTTTCTGTCCATCTCTCGAGCATCTTTTGTTTCTCTTTTTTTTGTCTCTCTCTCTATCTCTCTGTCTCTCTCGTTTTTCTCTCTTCTCTCTCTCTCTCTCTCTCTCTTTTTTCTATGTCTCTCTCTCTCGTTAATCTCTTTTCGCTTTTTTTTTCTCTCTTTTTGTTAATCTCTTGTTCATCTCTTGTTTCTCTCTCTTTTTTTATCTCACTCTCTCTCTATCTTTTTCTCTCTTTGTCTATCTTTATCTCTTTCTCTCTCTGTCTCTCACTCATCACTCTTCTCTTTCTCTGTCTACCTGTCTATTTGTTTGTCTGTCTGTCTCTCTCTCCCTCACTGTGTTCGCCTTGCTCACTTTCTCCCTCATCTCTTCTCTATTTATTGAGCTCCCTCTCGATTTATCGATCCAACCATGTTGGGGACCCCCAGTGGACGGTGACCCCCAGCACCCCCACCTCCACGTGGGGGGCTATGAGAGCAAAAGTGAAAATAAATAAATAAATAAATTTTTTTGAACCAATCAGAAAACAGTGGGGGTGGTGGGGGGTCACTCCCACTGGGAGTCTAGGGCATTTTTCTTATCGATCCACTACAAGAAAATGCACTTTTAACAACAATTTTGTCTCTTTCTCGCTCATCACCTTGTCTCTACCTCTCTATCTTTCTTCTCTATCTGTCTCTCACTCATCTCTCCCTCTCACCACCCATCTCCTCTACCACATTTACCACTATTGCAAATGCCATTCCACTACCACCACTACTACCACTGTTGCCACTCCACCTCTATGATTACCATTACTACCATCATCGCCACCACTCCCATACCACCACTACCACTACTACCACTACTACTACCATTACCTCTCCTCCACCACTGCCACTCCATCTTCTCTGTCTGTCTCTTCCTTTCTCTATGTGTCTCTGTCTCTTTTCTCTCTCTCACTCATCACTCTTCTCTGTCTGTCCGTCTCTCTCATTCTCTCTGTGTCTCTTTTCTTTCTCTCTCTCACTCATCACTTTTCTTTGTCTATCTGCCTCTCTATTTTTCTCTGTATCTCTCATCCATCTCTCTTCTCTCTATCTCTTTCATCTATCTTCTCTCTCGCTCTCTCATTCATCTATTTCTGTCTCTCTCTCGTTTATCTCTTTTTGCTCTTTCTCTCTCTCTCTATATATCTTTTCACCTATATTTCATCTTTCTTTCTTTCTTTTCTTTCTCTCTCTCACTCATCACTCTTCTCTCCCTATCTGTCTATTTGTCTCTCTCTCTCCCTCTCTCTCTCCCCTATTGTGTTCGCGTTGCTCACTATTTCCCTTCTGTCTTCTCTATTTACTGAGCTTCCTCTCAATTTATCGATCCACTACAAGAAAATATACTTTTAGCACCACTTTGTCTCTCTCTTGCTCACCACTCTCTCTCTCTCTCTCTCTCTTCTCTATCTGTCTCCCACTTATCTCTCTCTCTCACCACCCATCTTCTCTACCATCTTCACTACTACTGCAAACGCCATTTCACTACCACCACTACTACCACGGTCGCCACTTCACTACTACGACTACCAGTACAATATTTTTCATTAAAATATTACCCCCACTTCTACCAAATAAAAAATAATAATAATTTTTTTTATTAAAAAAAATGAAACAAATAAATTTTCAAGCTTAATTAGTAACCAAAATAAAATAATTTTTTTTAAAAAAATTTATTTTAACAAAAAATAATTTTTTTTTTTGCGACGACAACCCTATCGCAAAAAATAAATAAATTAAACAGTGTTATTTTATTGTTTAATTTTTTTTTTTAAAAAAAAGATTTTGATTTCCCCCCCTCCTTTTTTTCCATTCCCGCTCCGCCGCCCGCCCAAAACCAAAAAACCCTAGTCTCTGCTTACCCCTCCCTCTCTATCGATCGATCGACATGTGGAGATGAAGTTTGAGAGGCTGAGTAAGATCCAGACGATCAGTTTGCCTATGATTCTGACCCCTTCGGCAGCGGCGAGATTTCAACCTGGAAACAGTGCTCTCTCTTCGGCGGCGAGACTGCTTGGGCGGCGGCGACGATGGAAGGGTTTCGTTCTCTTCTCTTCGATCAAAAAAAGTATCAGTTCGATTCTTGAGGTATGTTCGGATTCTACCCTTCTCTCTCTCTCTCTCACACACACACACACACTCACTCCATATTTGTTCGATTATTTGGTGTTTTTAATTGCAATTTCGATTATGGGTTTGTAGAATTTTGATCGATGGATTAATGTTATGGGTTGTTGGATCTATTTGAGTGTTGGGTTTGTTTGGGTGTCAACATTGAGACTCTGGTTCATCAACTGTTTCAAATGCTGCAACAGAGCCTAATCGAACCTTCATGAAAATGAAATTAATGGTTACAAATCTATGTTTATACAAAGAAGGTTTGATATATATATATATATATAATAGAATATATCTTTCGGACGAATCCCAAGCCTGTGGAAATGGCCATGGATGAGTCGGTTCTTTAACATCCCATGAGAATCCAGGCATCTTTTTTATCAAAAGAATTCCTGAATATTGATTTGTTTTCTCAATTTACTGGCTAATTTGTTGGCATTTCATAGAGTAGTTTTCATTAGGATTTGAGCTTGTGTTGTTTTTGGTGATGTCTTCAGTCATTTCCATTTGGAAAATATATTTTCTTTTCTTTCTGACAATTTGTTAATTTTCTTGTATGGCCACTTTTCTCATCTATGGTCATTGATACTGTTTTTTCCTTTTTGCTCATATGTTTAGCTAATCATATTGTTGCATCATATCTGTTTTCTACAAATTGTCTCTGTAGTTGCTCACATGGACTAGATTTATGTGACTGCAGGTTCATATAATTGTTCTTATTGTTTTGTGTCATTATTATTATTGGTTTGGATCAATCCTCATTTTGAATTGGTTCAAAACTGGAATGGGCTCATTTCTTGTTGATTTGCTTGGGCTTGAATTTTTGCATCTCTTCAATTCTTGTAACGCTACACAGAACGCATCTTTGATATTAATTCTTTTACTGGCTAAAGCTAAAGGACATTACCACAAACTAAGTGCTTATTCTCTATATTAATTTATCTTTTGGTTTTTTTACCCCCAGATCTGAGCAAGACAAGGAGCCAGAGCAAGTAACTGTGTCTGAAGTTGTGGGCTCTGGCCCTTCTGAAGAATGTGTTACAGATAGTATGTGATCCAACCTGTGAAGTTATTAGAATTTGTCTGTTTTGTTTTTTAAAGTATTGGATGGATGAAACGAAGTTGAAAGAAATAGTACTAAATTTCGGCATTGAATGCTTGTTTTAATTTTTTTTTTTAGAAGTATGTATTAATTTTTTTCCATTGAATGCTTGGACCTGATATCCGTGTTGTTTATCAGCTCCTCAGGAAATTAATGAGTATGAACTTGTTGATCCTGTTGATATATTGACTCTTTTAGAGAAGACAGGATTTTAGGATGGAGTGGTAAGTCCTCTCAATCTTTTTTTCATGTTATTCACTGACTTTTAACTTTGTGCTTCTAGTTTGTAATTGTGCTCTCTGATTAATGTGAGGAAAATCCAATTTATTAGCTTTCCTCTTTAACTATGTGAAGCTTAAACCAGGTGAAGCATTGTATCTAGGGGCAAATGAAGTCCATGTAGGCTAACATGGTGAGTACAATATTTGCCTGTATTCCCTTTATACAAAGATCCAAATACTCTGGCTAAAAAATGTAGCAGCAACAAAAGATACACATTATCTCGTCAATCATTCACTTATATAAAGATTTACAACAGCACATTATCACCTTATGGACGATGCCTGCCTTTAACATAAAAGTCAAGTGGCCAATCCAAAAAAAAAAAAAAAAAAAAAAACATAAAACCCAAGTGA